TCCCCGGGTAAATGTGGTACCCACGTACGGGCCCCCCAAAGTTTTTCCCGCGCAAATTCATAACTCGGGAATCTAAGAAGCTAGAAGGCTGAAATCTTGGGGTAATGGTCCCAGCCCAAGTGGGTATTAATGGGCTCAAACCCAGCCCCCGGGTAAGCGTAGTACCCACATACGGACCTGTCAAAATTTTTTTCGTGTAAATTGATAACTCAAGTACCTGAGGAACTAAAGGAATGCAATTTTAAGAGGATATACCCCGTCCACTTAAGTTTCATTGAGCCCGGACCTAACTCTCAGGCATGCTTGGTAAACATGCACGGGCCCGTGAAAATTTTGTTCCAGTGAGCTGCTAACTCAGGTGCCAGGGAAGCTAGAAAGTTGGAATTTTAAAGGGGATGTTTTCTGACAGTCCTGGTGGCCAATTTTAATTTGTTCAGTTAGAAGCATTTGCCGAAAAAACCAGTACCGGCAGCAACAGAAACTGCGGGGAACCATGCAAAAAACGCATCTTCGCACGGGCAGCCCGTGCGTTGGCCATTTTACGAGGATAATTTCGTAATGTAATGTTCTGGTTGGTTTTAAGGAAAACTTTGCCAGGAAGCATTTTCAGGTGGAGCAGTACGTAGCGGTGTGTTGTGTGCTCGCGGTGCACTAATTTTATTCGCGGATGCCGATGGTGCGACAAAATTCTGGGATTTCGATCGTGTTGAAGGAGAACTGCTTTCCTTAATAGCTCCAAACAATCATTTGACGCGGGATTTATCAAAGTTGAACTGGCTTAGTCAGGCAATAGCCGTTGGCTCAAGGTTTTTAACATTTTTTTCAATTGCGTTATTAAGTTTGGCAAGTTTTACAGTAGAATTCTCTTGAAATTGCAAGCAGTTACCTCTGAAGTTTACCCTCCCTCAAAAATTATCTGTAACAGTTGTTCCAGGGCACATATGGAAAAAGAGAGTATAGCGACGCGTTCGTTAGCACGAACACTATTAATGATTGGTTTCCATTGCATGGTATATATTTTCGCAGTGCGAACAGTCCGAGATACGCAGTGTGGATTTAAATTGTTTACTCGTGGAGCTGCTGCAAAGGTTTATTATAACATCGGCACCTTCGGGCAAAATTTTTTGCTCTTCGTAATAGGGAGTAGATTTCTGCATGATAAGTGTAGATTTGCTGCAGTGCGACATCCTTATTGGAAAGCTACAGAGGCATCTTTTGCTGCTTCAAAGTATAGGAATTAAGCATCCTCCTCCCTGAGTGCACATTTCAAAGCAAAATGCTGATGAATACAGTCAACATTATCCAGCATGAACAGTATTTGCTGCCACCTTATGATTTTTGCTCTTTTATTGCTCATTCCGAATAGAACGCTTCGCTTGCGTTTAGCTTAATCCATACATAATCACAGACTTTTAGAATATCGGGCATGTCAGAACATGAGAAAGCTACGAATTTTTACATCCCGGAGTGCATACACCAGACCATGACGTAGTTCAACGCTATATAATATTCAGCGTACTCCGGAAGTGTGTTTTAGAACATAAGAAAGATATCATTTGCGGTTTCCCTCTTCTCTGTCCCATCCCCTTTTTGCCGTGCAAAAAAAAAAAAGAATAAAAATGTATCAGCACTTGTTGGGTTTTCCAACTCAGCATTATGCATCTCTTGCTGCAGCTTAACTATTTTCATTCATGAATCGATGAATTTTAACAAATGGAAGAGCAAAGGTTGTTTTCTTTGCAGTTGTTTCCGTTGCTGCATATTGAACGCTGGGCGTTTGACGTTGAATTGCTTTTTCTTGCCGAACATTTTTGTATACCGATTGCCGAGGTGGCTGTAACGTGGCATGAAGTTGATGGCTCAAAAATAGTGCCGGTATTGTCATGGATTCAAATGGGCCGTGATCTGATTTTGATTTGGTTTCGCTATGCTACCGCCCTTTGGAGCTATGACTTACTCTAAAGTTGCTTTTTTATTACTGCGCTATGTTAAGATCCGGTTGGGGGCTGGCTGTAGAGGAAGGGATGTGTAGTTATTTTTTGCAAGTTCTGCTAATGAAGGTGCCTACTTTTTCATTTAAGACGAAAGATAGGATGGAGAGAAGATTGGAGCGTTTTGGAGAAGCAGCAGTACTGGCTGTCTCATCAAACAGCTGGCAGCATTCTGATCTGTCTTAAGGAAGTATTTGATAACTGTGAACGAATTTAGGATTATTCGGTTTGCTAATGTAAAATATTACAATGCTTTAATATTAATATGTTTAATATATTTACTTGAATAATACTAACGAATATGTGGAAATGTATGGGTCGTATGGTGCGTGAGGTGTGAAGGATTATTTTCGTAGCGATTTATTGACAACTAAAGTGTTGAACTATACAACAGTGAGAAACGGTGTTGGAGGGGATTTCTTGGGTCTGGTAAAGGCCAACTCTGTTTCCTCCAGTCCGCGAATCTAGGGCTTGTTTTTCCACGCCCGAATGATTTTACTTCAAATTAGTGGACTGAATCGGCACTTGAAACTCTCCCTCAGAGGTGAAAGCAGTGGAAAAGGAAGAAAAGTCCTTCCCAAATTTATCACCGGTTACTGCATAAGGAACTAAAGGTGAATGACTCGCGGTGACTTCGCATTGTTCCTCGAGGTCATGAGAGGATAGTAATAGCCGGTGCGTTAGTAATGATTGAGGGGGCATGTTTGCATATTCAAAATATGGTAACTCGTCTGGTTATTGATAAAGCAGGTATGGTTCCTAGGAGCCAAGTGCTAGCGTTGTTGCGGCATTTTCGTAGCTGCGCCAAGTGTTTCTAACGGATAATACCAAGTGACTTCCCCTTTGGGGCCATAATTCTAAACAAACTGTTTACAGTGCACGTAGTGCAATTCATTTCATCCAAAAAAGGGGACTGTTGTCTATGCACCCTCTAACTAAAAGTTATAGGACTCATCCATTCCTTACTGAGCTTCTTGCGTAGCGTCGTATACAACGCTCCTGCAGTCATGTTTAAATTCTACGCAAGGAACAGTCTTGGATCGGTTCCACATTATCTTTGCCTGTGGTGGAGGTACCAGCAGTCTGACCAACTTGCGATGATGCGTTGTTTGCATAGTTCAGCGCAGTTTTTGTCGCCTCCGGCACTAGTTTTTTCGACAAATGCTTCTAGCTAAACAAATTAAGACTGACCGCCAGAACTGTCAGGGAACACCTCCTTAAAATTTCAGCTTTCCAGCTTCTCCTGTTAGCAGCATGAAAAAAACTTTCATGGTACAGTACGTAGGCATCACGCTTACCCGACACCTAGTTTGAGCTCGTTAAAGACTTACATGAACGGGGACATCCCCTTAAAATTGCTGTCTTTTAGCTTTCCTGGCTCTTGTTAGTAACTTACTCGAAGAAAACTTTCAAGGGACTGTACGTGGGTACCGCCCATACCCGATGTCTGGGTTTGAGCTCGTTGAGGCTTGCGTAGGCAGGTAACGTCCCCGTAAAATTTCAGCTTTCTAGCTTTGCTGATTCGCGAGTTAGCGACTTGTTCGCGAAGAACTTTCACGGGCCCGTACGTGGTTACCACACGTACCCGGGGACTTGTTTGAAGCTCATTAAGGCTTATGCGGGCTGAGAACGTTCCTGTAAAATTTCGGCTTTCTAGTTTTACTGATCCCCGAGTTAGCGACTTGCCCGCGAAGAACTTTCACGGACTCCTACGTGGTTACCACGCAGTAGGGGGCCCAATCCGGAGATAGAAGAAAAGTCGGCACAGACGCGCAGCGCACACGCACAGACACACACACACACAAACACGCACACACAGACAACCTCTCGTCAATATGCTTTTTCTGCACTCCGTTGCAAAAAACTCGTAAAAATGAAATTGATTTGTTTCAGCCTGGGTGAAATGAGACGCGTGAGCGGACGGTGCAAAAATTAGTAAGTCTCCTAGGAAGATGTGCACTTAATAAATCGGTAAAAATTTTGCGCTTCTGTTCTGTCACCAAAAGGGCTTTGCAGGAAGCGTTCGGAGGAAAGCGTTCACACTATAGACCAGTTCTAGTGGCAGGAGCCCCGGATTACCATTCAGGTCGCCACTCACGATCAACTGGATGAGGATTTTAGATTTTTCTTTAACTCCGGGCCGAGCACAGTGGCTCTTTCGCGTGCTAGGGATGGTCTTTTCGGTGTAGGAAATTTCACCTTCCTTTAACAAAACGCAATGTGGGCCAAATTCTTAGGAGGCGCAACACAAGCCGCCACAATTGTGACCGCAGCTATGTAGAGGCAGACGGCTAATTCTTTTTTCAGGGTTGTGTGAGTCCGTAAAAGCTTGCTTTGTTTGTCGAATGGCACCGGAGCATGCAGGATGTAGTGATCGGTTAACGGTAATTTCCAGCAGGAATGGGCGAACTGGAAAATTTCTGTAATTTACTAAATTCTGCGCATGGGCCAAATTTTTTTCTAAGTTTAAAAAATAATACAGTCATTTCATCGGACTGACTTTGAGGGACATGATGCCCGTATGTGTTATTAATGATTACTAGCAGTAATATTTTAACAAATCGGGGTTGTATTTATGTTTGTATATATAATTATGTATATGTATATACACATATATGCATACACATATGTACGTGTCTACATTTATATATACATATATATATATATATATATATAACTCCGATCAACTGCTTTCCACTCTTAACAGTAATCGTTCCACCAGTACATCAGCTGCTGTTTTTTCCTAGGCCCATCGCTACATTGCGCGCTTACCCATGCAGCCTGCGCTGTTTCTTCCTTTCTCTTCTTTCCTTTTTTTTTTACTCCTGGTGAAAATCTTGCGTTGTTTTGTACAGGTGTGCAATTTTTATGCGTTTTTTACATCTATGCAATGCAAAAACGCTTACTGTCGAGGAGTTGTATGTATGTTCGTCTGTACCGATTTTTTATTTCGGGACTTACAAAAACTATAAGGCTGAGACTTTTAGAACTCAATCTGCATGCACATACGGGCCACCATTCCCAAAATGGGCGCTGTTACTCACGTGGTTCCCACGTGCGGGCCCGTCAAAGTTTTTGGCGAGTAAGGTGCTAACTCGGGAACCAGAAAAGCTGGAAAGCTGGAGTTTTAAAGGGATGTTCCCCGTCCACGTAGAGCTTAATGAGTTCAAACCCAGCCCTCAGGTATGCGTGGTTCCCACGTATGGACCCGTGAAAGTTTTTTACGGGTAAGTTGCTATCTCGGGAACCTGAAAAGCTAGAGGACTGGAATTTTAAGGGGATGTTTTCCGTCCACGTAAGTCTTAATATTTCTAAACCCAGCTCCAAGATGTGCATGGTTCCCATGTACAAGCCCGTAAAAACTTTTTGCGGGCAAGTTGATAACTCGGAAACTGAAAAGTTAGAAGGTTGGAAATTTCAGGGGATATTTCCTGCCAACGTATAATGACTTCAAATTCGGCCTCCAGTTATGCTGTTCCCGTGAAAAGTTTTGGCGGAAAGTTGCTAACTCGAAAATCAGAGAGCTAGAAAGGTGGAACTGTAAGGGAATGCTCCCGGTCCACGTAGAACTCAGTGACTTGCTCCCAGTTGTGCGTGTTCCTCACGAACGGGCCGGGGAAAGTTTTTAGCGAGAAAGTTGGTAATTCGGGAACCAGAAAAGATAGAAAGTTTAAAATTTAAGGGGATGTTTTCAGGCAGTCCTGGCGGCCAGTCTCAGTTTTCTTAACTAGAAGATCTGCCGGAAAAACAGTGCCGTTAGCGACAGAAACCTGCGAGGAACTGTGCAAAAAACGCACCTTCGCACTGGCAGTCAGTGCTTTTTTAAACTGGACATTTACAGTGATTGCTAATGTGGTTGTTTTTATATTTCTTTGCATAAGCTTATTCTTAATTCTGTTCTTTCAGTCAGTTTTTTCTTCCTTTTTCTGATCACTTCATCCTCTTTTTCTCATCACTCTGATGTCTAAAACTTTTATTTTTTTTAAACCGTTAAATTATTAACTAATATGTATGTGTTACAAACCGGTAAACAACAATTATTAACCCAAAAATTTTGCAGTGTGCGACTATGAAGCATGAGTTTACATGTAATTCAGCAAATTTAAATTTAGCCTCCCCATGCCTGCGAGTAACACGTACGGCCTCGTAAAAGCTTTGGCGAGGAAAATTATTATCTTGAGAGCCACGGAATCCAGGAAGTTGAAATTTTAGGGTAATGATCCCCTGCTCACATACGACCCCGCAAATTCAGCGCTCTCACACTCTCGGGCATCACCTGCGACCTTGTCAAATTTCGGCGGGTAAATTGTTATCTCGGGAGCCATAAAGGCCAGGAAGCTGAAATTTTGCGGTAGTCTCCTCCGCCCACGTACAACCCCGCATGTTTAAATCCAGCCTTCACGCATGCCCGAGTATCACTTACGGCCTCGTGAAAGTTTCGACGGGAAAAATTATTATGTCGGGAACCACGAAAGCTAGGAAGCTGAAATTTTATAGCATCCCCTGTTCACGTATGACTCTGCAAATTCCCAACATCCATGAAAGTTTTGGCGGGAAAAGTCATTTTCTGGGGAGCCAGAAGAGCTAGGAGGCTAAAAATTTCAGGAGGATGTTTCTTGCTTAAACGGGGGCTTCAGAAAAGCAAATCCAGTCCTTGGGTATGCCGACGTCTAACGCATGACCACGTGAAGGTTTTGTCGCGAAAATTACTCGAAAGCGCAATTAGGAGATTGGAATTTTGGAAGGATATTCACCCTTTAAGGTTTCAAGTCTGGCTTTCACGCACGGATGCGTGAAATTTTTAGTGGGAAATTTTGCAAATTAGGGACCAGGCAACATTTCAACTATTTTTGCATAGACCAAAGTGCAAAGCAATGATAATCATTAACAGGCAACCGTTCGGTGGGCGGGATTGCAAAAAGCGCATTATCGCACTGGCTATTCTGGTACGCATCGCTGTTTCTTCTTGTT